ATTTTTGCGGTTTTGGGCGGGAACGGGGACAGGATTTTTAAATGGTTGTGGGGGTGGGGGAGGGTACATGTGATGTTACGGATTTAAAGCGTTTTTCATTTTTCGAGAATTTTTGTCTCCACAAGGGCATTTCTGTCTTTTCACGTTTTGCGTGCAGAATTGTGGTTGGGTCCAATTGCATTTCATATATTTTAATTTATGTGAATTATGTAGTATTTGGATGATATGTATTTATATGTGTATGTGGTGAGAATTAAAGTTAGAAAGAAGAAGAAAAATAAAAAGAAATTAGTGGGGCCCACCATCATTGGTTATAAGGCAAAAGACCACCCATTTGGTCTCACATTCTCTTCCTCTCCCGCTAGTTCTCTCTTTCTCTCCTTGTTTTGCTTTTTATTTTTCTTTTTCTTTTTCAATCACAACTTCAACTTTAGATCTCTCTCTTAATACTTAATCATTTGGGGTGCCCGTTTAAGGCAAATTAAAGAGCGCGTCGAGGGCTTCGAGTTGATCGGAGCCAATATCTTTTTGGCCATTAATTGGAGGATCTCAAATCCAAGGGCACAATTGGGGGTTTTGCACCATTTCAAGGTAGGGGTCTCCAATTCATACTTTTCTTGTACTCTTGTGATTTTCTTTACTTAATTTGTTGCCAAGTATGCTTAAATTAACTTGATTGCTTTCTTAGATGATTTAATTGAGTGTATGAAACATGTGATTATGTGAAATTGTTGGTTTATTTGAGAAGCATGATAAATGTTAATTTTCCATGTCTAAAGTGTTACAAATTGCTAGCTATGATGTTGAAAAGTATGCTTAATTGAATTGTTGAAAATCCCCTAGTAGCATAGCATTGAAGGTATGAGACACATATATGCATATCATTGGGTTCACATGGATGGGAATGATTTTTCTTTGAAACAATAAAAAGGGGGATTTTCGGGAGAATTTTGATAAAAAGGTTTTGCGAAAACCCGGTCGCCGCAAGGGTACCAAAGGGCCGGAGGGTTAATATAGCCTAGAGGGAATTAGGGAGATTGCCCTAGCGTGGTTGAGCTAGCTGGGCCCAAAATGATGCCGCGGGGGTACCAAGGGTCAGGGACACTAGCCAATCCTTCTCTCGTGTCGCTACGGAGTCACCAAAGGGCGGGTTATATTAACCGTTTGAAAGTGATGGTTTTGAATGATGAAAATGGGGAGTGACATTGGCACGCATTACATTCCATTGCATCATATTGTGTATACTTGAGACTGTTTGTTATGCGATATTATCCCGACATTGTATGATCCCCATCTCCTATTACTCTATTCCTTGTTTGGATTCACGGGGCTACAAGAGGTGTGCCTTAGACACTACCTACTGAGCTTTACGCTCACCCTATTATTCAATATTTTTCAGGAACCGGAAAAGATGTAGTAGAAGCCGACCTTCCACAAGTATGAAGATGACTAGCAGTCCATTTTGTTACCTTTTGTATATTTCCCATTTTTTGTAAAGTCCTATGTTTTTGGAAAGTGTACTCATTTTGTAAACCATGGTCTTGTGATATAATTTCGATGCTTAATGATCTTTTGATGTAAATTGGTTATGTTGTAAACACTTAAGGATGAATGGGAAAGAAAATCAAACTTTAATCTATTGTCGGAGTTATTAAATTATGTTTCATCATGCATTGCGGCCGTGAATTCGGATTTTTAGTTTATAACAGGTTCATCATGGGTTTACTATGCATTACACATAGTCAGTATGTATTCCAGTGAACTTCATTCCAGGATTGCATGTTTTGGCCGGCTGATCCTCTCCATCAGCCGACCGAACCCCATCGTCAGCCGACTGAAACGCCTGCACAGTGAAAGTCCCGAGAGCCCTTTTTCCTCACCATCGTTTCGGCCGACCGATCTTACTTGTCGGTCGACCGATCCTGCCTTATCAGCCGGCCGACCATGGGCCATCAGCCGGCTGACAGTCCCTTTTTAACCTGTATAGTTTGGACCTCTATGTAAGCTTGACTTGGGTCATTTTTGGACCTTAGATCACCGTGTATAATGGTTAAGGATTCAAGAAAAAGTAACGGTATGACCTAGTTAACCTCGGGTTCGGGTAAGGACCCGGGTAATGGACCGGATCCACGGGTTCAGGTCGTTACAAAGTTGTTATCAGAGCGATGGTTCGAAAACCTATAGGACGACGGGGTAGAGGCCTACATAGGATTGCATGGGATGATGATTGTATTGTTTACATGACTATTTGCTACTTGCTTATTACCTGAAGAAGCATGCTTAACTGCTTATGTGCTTACGTGTTTACGTATTTATGCTAAGGTGTTATTGTGTGGTTTTGCATGCTAAGTCTTAGTGTGGCATCATTTCACATAGAGTCATCTATAGTGAACATTGGTGCCTTATCATTGAACCGTTTTCTTGTTTTATAGCACGATGTCACGGCGTGAAGAACAAAGAGAACTTGGCCCTAGGTCGAATAGGGGTAATGTTGGCGAGAGCTCCAGCTCCAATCCGGAGGAGCTAAATGATGAGGACACACATCTTAGGGACTGGATTCCCCCAAGAGTTGTCCCTACAAGGAGGGATAATGTTGAAACACCCGTAGAAGTGGGTGAAGGTTCTGTGGCACTGGAGTTGAATCGCTTGTTGCAAAGTGCCGTGAGGGCAACGATTGTAGCTCAGTCGCAGTCGGCACCACAACCTACAGTTCAAGTTGAGGAGACGCCGGCTCAGAAGCGTCTCAAGATCATTAAGGGATTTTCTCAATTGATGGCAGTAATGTTTGAGGGCGGTGCGGATCCAATGGTGGTAGACGACTACATGGATCAAGTTGAGACTCAGTTGACCTCAATGGATGTAACGAAGGATCATTTGAAGATCATCCTAGCAACTTACAAGTTTGCTAAGGATGCTAAGTTCTGGTGGAAGACGGTAATGAATCGGCATAAGGTGGAAGAAATGAGCTGGGACAAGTTCAAGGAACTATTTTATGAGAAGTATTTTCTGCTTTCTAAAAGATGGGAGTTAAAAGACCAGTTTTTTGGCCTTATCCAAGGCAACATGTCAGTGGCAGAGTATGAGAACAAATTCACTTCACTTTCTCACTTTGCTCCGGAAATGGTGAGAGATGAAGTTGACAAGACTTAGAAGTTTATTTCCGGTCTTCATGACAAAATAAGGCCATTGATAACGGCATAGTTCATCAAGGTTTATTCTAAAGCAGTAGAGAGAGCTTTGATGCTTGAGGCTGATATTAAAGACAAGGATGCAAGAAGGGAGCAGTGGAAACAAAAGAGAGGTGCAGGGCCATCTTAGGAAGATCTTCCTGGAAAAAGAACAAGGGTGGTTCATTTCAGTTCCAGGGGCAGCAGTTTGCACGATCTGCTCCTACCATTCATTTACCAGCTGGGTCTGACAAGAGTGGAGTCGTATGTTTTCAGTGTTAGCAGCCGGGGCAATACAAGTCCAATTGCCCTATGAGATCGTCTGTAGTTTCTTCAGCTCCAAGGGCTTGTTATGGTTATGGCCAGCAGGGTCAGTTGATTCGAGACTGTTCGAGTCAGGGAGAAGGTATTGGTAGTGGCAGAGGGTCACGACAAAGGCCGTCACAGTCGGCTACAGTGCAATCAGGGTTCAGACCGCCACCACCACAACCTGCTACGTCTTCTCAGGGCTCATGAACCATTAGGAGGGATGCTCCTACTGTGCTAGCGCAGCAGTTTGGTATTTAGGGTGGCAATTCTCAAGCTCAGGCACCACAGGGACGTGTCTTTGCACTTGCACCGGCTGATGCATTTTTTGGACCGTCAGTTCTTCGAGGTATCTTCCCAGTGTTTGGTTCTTGGGCTCGTATTCTTTTTTATGCTGGTGCATCTCATTCCTTCATATCATCATCATTTGCACTTGCATCGGTGTTAGAGGTTAGTTTCATGGATTGGGCATTATGTGTTGATACGCCAGTTGGGTTTTCAGTGTCCTTGAATCGAGTTATGCGGGATTGTCCCATTGTGATAGTCGGATGGATTTTTGTGTTTGACCTTATCCTCCTAGAGATGACTAGCTTTGATGTCATTCTCAGGATGGATTGGTTAGCTATCTTTCGTGCCACAATTGACTGTTTGAGAGGTAGAGTTACAATCTGCACTCCTGAGGGAGATTGTTTCTTTTTCATGGGAGATCGGGGTGATTCCCAGCCTTCATCATTGTATGGAATTCGAGAACGAAGTTGTGGAGACTATTTCTTGGTTAGCCTTCTAGCCAAAGAAGATAATGTTGTAGGAGAAGACTATCCGGAAGTAGTTCGTGATTTTCTAAACGTGTTTCCAGAGGATTTGACGGGTTGTCTCCACACCGAGAAGTGGAGTTTACTATTGACTTTATGCCCGGTACCGCGCCGATTTCTATGGCACCATACCGTATGGCACCAGTTGAGTTAGAAGAGTTGAAGAAACAGCTTGATGATAATAAGGGTTTCAGTGGCGATCTAAACCGCCGCTATAAGGTTCCGAAAATGCCGGTAATTCCTGTACCGGCGGTTTTACCTAACTGCCGATATAGCCACCGCCGCTAGGTTTCACCGGCGATTTTTACCTAACCACCGGGTTTGAAATCATTGCCGACGGATATATACAACCACTGGTGAAAGATGATTTAGCGGCGGTTTTGTCCGCCGGTGTATTCAAAGTAAAAATGTCAATTAACTGTATACTCCGGCACTTTGAAGTGCCGGTAATGTAGACCTTTTTACTTTTGGGGGCGTTTTAAACCGCCGGTGTATTCAAAGTAAAATGTCATTGTATACTCCAGCACTTTCAAAGTGCCGATAATGTAGCCTTTTTTACTTTTGGGGGCGTTTTAAACCGCCGGTAATGTGTTAATTTTTTTTAAAAAAATATTATTTTCTGGTTTAATTTATATATTAGCATATATTTTATTTTGTTCCCTATTCAATGAAATCAAAGATAATTTACCAATCAGAACATATCCAACAACTTAAGTTTGATATGTAACATAGAACAAAGTTACATTAAAATTCAATAACATCCCATAACATATAAGTTTTGTTTCAAAATGTCAAGTGCTAATAAAAGGGTCAAAAGGAAACACCAAAATCTAGCAAAACTTCAAAAGGAAATCATTCAAAATAAAACATCAACATTTCATTGAGAATTTGAGTGAGACTATTCGAGGGTCTTGAGAATAAATGGTTCAACTTCATCTCTCGTCTTGCTTCAATTTGCCCTACATACATTTTAAATAAAAGCCATTAAACAAAGAATAATAATTAAGACAATTAAATATATGGTTAAAATAACATGATAATTAAAATCTATAGTGCTCACCAAGGACGGAATTTCATGACCAAAAATAAAATTTAAGGATCACCAAGTGTAGTTGAGGAGCCGGGTACCTTCACTATAAAATATAATTTTATTATGCACCTTCATAATAGAATATAATTATAAATATATTAAGACTTATAATATTTATATAGTTAAATGTTTACCAGGGTACAATAACAAAAATATTTACTTGTACATTAGAATTTTGATGTTCAATATGATGCAAAATCATAGCCATTTTTGCATTCAAAGCTTCATATTTTTCATCATACTCAACACGCATCTTTTCTACTATATCTTTCATTTCTGTATGAGCAACACGTGTCTCCTCTTCTGCTTGTGAGGTCCTCCTTATCAGGTCCGTTTTACTAGGAGATGGCCCCTAAAGACTATTAGATATAGGTCCCAAGCTATGCATCCGAACACGGCCCCTTCTTTCTTCTCCCCTAACTTAGGTATAAAAATCGTGGGGTAAAGGTTCATCTGGGTTAGAAGGCTGAGTTGCAGCAAGCTCTTCTAGTTGTGTATGCATAATATAGAATGGATAAGGAAACACAAAAAGATATAAAACATCAAATATAATAAATTTTAGTACCCATATTTTACACTTAATCAAACTAGGAAATAAAGAATTGATGGTCTAAAAAAATACTTACAATCATTTTGGTAGCATGTTCATCACTAGCTTTGCCATCCTTCTTGCTCTTATGTGTTGCGCAAAATAGTTGAGCATGAGTTAGCGCCTTCCCTGATTCCAAGATGAATTTATCATAAATATCTAAACTAAAATGAGAATTAAGCTTTATAATATATATATATTTTAAATTAACGAGACTAAAATTTAAAGTACCTTGAGTCCGTAATCCAACTTCTATCCATTATGATAGATTATGTAACCTAGTGTAACAAAGAACATATGTATCTCAAAACTTTGTTAGTTAACTTCTTTGAATTACTACATTTCATGGTATTTTAATCAGTAAACTACTTCAATCTACTTAGGTAGATGATACAGTATATGAACAGAATTACTATTAAATGTCCTAATTAGCATCACCTATAAAGTGTGGTAGTAAGTAGATCAAACTCGCTGTTCAGTCAAATGACTTAAAATACACTACTTGTTAGCTAGAGAGTAGTAGTGACTGTAATAAACTAATGTACAAAAATTAATATAAATAATGGAACCCACGTTTTTTATCTCTATTTTTTTTTATCTTTTCTAAACTTATCATTTCTCCTCTATCGCCTTACTTTTTCTTCCTTTCATTCGCCATATTTCCTATTATATTGTCCACTCACTTCTCTTTTTTTTCCCTCTCACCTCTTCTCTTTTATTTTGTTATTTACTCTCTTTTTTTCTCCTTAGTTATTGTTCAATCCCACAGGTTGTGTCCCAAGTGTTAGAACACAATATATTGAAGTAGATATATTGATCCTACAACCAATTTTTTAACCATTAGAGTTTTCATTTGGGTGTCAATTAACTTTTCAATTTTTTCATTTATAAACATTTCTACTAAAAATGTTCATTTAAGTTAGAAAATTTTAAATATAAATAGAGATATTAATGTAATTATATAATAAATTGCAAAAAAAGTAATTTTTTAAAAACTTTAATACAAATTTAATTAATGATTATGTATACCAAGACATAAGAAGAATGGCTTTTGTATAGAATTATCAATTTAATTTCATAGAAATATGTTAAACATCAAAATGCCACACTAGTGTTTTTGTCTTAGGCCTCAAAATCCATTGAGCCACCCTTGTGTATGAGTCCATGGGTGAACTGTGGGTTTGCATTTATATGATACAATAATTTTGCTCCCAGCAAAAAATTTACTCTCATCCACACACACAACACTAATACATTATGAAGGCAAAAGCTTCCTTTGGACAAAAAAGTATATATATATATATATCCTAAAACGCTAATCTTTATATATATATAAATAATAAAAAGGAAGGAAGAGAAGGGGAAATCGAAAGAAGGAAAAGTGGGCTGGAAAAAGCTGCAATCAAACAAACAAATCAAAAAAGATATGGAAGCCTTGTATTGTTTTTTATATTTTTCTGGCTTCAAACATGTTGAACCCAAGAAAGCCTCCGAATTGTTTAGAAAACGAACTAAACAGATCACCAACCTGAAAACCCTAGTTCCTCCACAAATCAAAAGCCCCAAAATCAGCGACAACCATTCCAGACAACATACAAGAAAGACCCATAATATATATATGCAATTGTTCATTTTTACTTAAGAAATTAACAAAAAGAGAAGCTGATTCATTCATTGAGAATACAAGAGAGATATAAGTGGAGTTCTTGAGAAGAAGGGGAAATTAGGGTTTAAAGTTCTTACAAGCTATAGTAGCCCCACTCAACAACCACCACTCTCCAGATCTCCAATATGCCACCAATCAACCACCGCCGCCGTGATCCTTCCTGCGCCACACCAAGGGCACCACCAAGTCGTGAAGTCGTGGGTCAGTGAGAGAGTAGAATGGAAGCATAGACATTAGAGCGTTTATGTGTGAGTATAAGCAATAAGCTACCCAAACCCGCTTTTAGGAAAAAATAATAATAAATTAAATAATTATAATTAAATTTTTACCGGCATATTTTGTACAACCGCCGGATATAATTAACTATTTACGGCGTTTTAAAAAAACTGCCGGATATAATTAATTATTTTCGGTGCTTTTAAAAATCTGCCGGAAATAATTACTATTTTCCGGCGGTTTATAAAATAGCGCCGGTAAAAATTTCAATAGCGGCACTTTGTTCTTAAACGCCAGAAAAAATAAATTAACAGCGGCGGTCGGATAAAAACCACCGGTGAAAATGATTTTTCTTGTAGTGATTTAAGGATGAAAGGTTTCATCCGATCGAGTGTGTCACCGTGGGGTGCACCGGTCCTGTTTGTTAAGAAGAAAGATGGTTCTTTGAGGTTGTGCATTGATTAACGGAAATTGAATCATGTCACCATTAAGAACAAGTATCATTTGCTAAGGATAGATGATTTGTTTAACAAGTTGAGGGGAGCCAGTTGTTTCTCGAAAATTGATTTGAGGTCTGGCTATTATCAGTTACGGGTTAAAGATGAGGATATCCCAAAGACAGCGTTCCATACATGGTATGGACACTATGAGTTCCTTGTCACGCCTTTTGGCTTGACTAATGCGCCAGCGGCATTCATGGACTTGATGAACCGCGTCTTTCACGATTACTTGGACTGTGATACCCCCGACTTTCCCGATGCGGGTTAGCCAGGCCCACGCCCGATAACCCGAGGATATCAAATCAATTAGTAATAATCGAACACAGAATACAAATAAGAAAAACAAGAATAAATAAATTGCTGAAAAGAAACTAGAATAATAATCCAAAAACCTCAGAATAAAATTTAATTAACAAAGAATGATTCTGATACATCCTACTTATCCATTTTTATTACAACTCGGGAATCTATCTAGTGGACCCCTAAAATATCTCACTGAACTCAAAAGATTGGAAATGAATCCCAAGTCTAAAATGTGAAATAAAACCCTGGTCATCGGTGGAGTGAATGACTGTATCTACTCAGCACGATCCAGCTCTAAGTTTGGAACTAACGAACACCTGTAAAAATAAGAGTGGGTCAGGTCCACATGCAAATTATTCTCTAACTACAATCCAAACAGTGACTCGATACGCAGATACACCCTAGATATCTCAACAATAGCTATCTAGTCCATACATATAGATATATCCACACTAAGGGACATTCACTGGACTACAGTAGGGGTCTCAACCTGAACAGAAGGTAACATGCGAAAACGCACCCAAAGGTGGGCATGAGTACCTAGACCTAACAGGGTACACCTCAACCTACTATAGCCAGCTACGCATCCACTGCATATACGCACCCTAACCAACGAGTCTGAGTCTTAAGCTCAACTCGTAGTACCATAAACATATATATAAAGTCCATCCAAATCCAGGGTATGCAGTTCAACTATTTATTAAACTGACATACAATAAACCAACTAGTTAGTCACTCAACTTATTCAGTTGATATGACATAACTACCATCCGTTAATCCAGGAAGTCATCTAACTTGGTTATAGCTGATCTGACTTAGTCACAATTAGGATTCGATATCTTTCAATCCATTCCATTAATCCATTAGGTTAGGTTTATGCGTTTTGAGCTAAACCGTCCCTAGTATGTTACCGTCTCATACCGGTACATACAATCCTCCACATCCATGTAAATTACAACATATATAACAGTTCAATAATTTACAGACCCAAAAACCACCATCCAAATAATTGCAAAAAAATATTTAAAGCTTCAGCAATTTAAATCCAAACATTTTACCATATAGTTGCAGGAGACGATTTAATAAATCAACAACTAACATCCAGAGCATGCATAGACTAAATTTAATATGTCAGGGACTCCATCATGCATGAGAATAGGTTAAATAATCCTATTATTATCCAATAAATTGCTAAAACAATTTCAGAAGATTGTTTAATATTTCAACAATTTAAATCCAAGCATTAACCATATAGTTGTAGGAAACGATTTAATAATTCAGCAACTAGCCTCCTAAGCATGCATAGATCAAGATTAATAATTAAATGACCCCCAAATTCAGCTTTATAAACTCTCTGTGGAACCCCAGACCCAACAGGTTTAAATCCCATGCTCCAATAGTAAACACAGTACGTAGAAAATTAAAAAAAAAACTTAAAATAAATCAGAAAATAAAAAGGGAGCCTACTCCAAATTTTGGAGCAGGCTCTTTTCCAGCCTAGAGCCGGCTCTAGGACTCCTTAGAGCCGGCTCTACTTGTTGTGGGAGCCGGCTCCCACTTCTATGGAGCCGGCTCTCACCTCCTTTGAGAGCCTTCGTCCCCGTTCTGCTCCGTTTCAGTCCGTCTGCTCCCTCTCTGATCAATTCCTACCACTCTGCTGGGTTCTAAAACTAATCTTAGGAGTCTTAATTGAGTCTAGAAGCATCCCCAAGGTTGTTTACCAAAAACTGGGACCAATTACAGAGGTTAGATTTAGCCATTAAACTAGCTTGTTTACAGTACGAAACTTAAGCTAACTTGCAACGTCCATTCCATTCTAACTCCTCTGTTCCTTTTTACCCCTGAACCTAAAGATCTTATATCATCATAGTAACATCCCCATGATTTATTTGCAGAGGTTAAAGGCAATTACAGAGACTAAAATTGCTTACCAACATAACATGCTTAAAACAGAAAACTGATCAAGGCTTGAAACAAGCTTGCACGCATTATACCATAATCAAATTTAACACGTAAAGATCATCAATATATTATATAGCAAGCATGTAAGTTCCGATTTAAAAAATAATTAATTAAACCCTAGAGATTATCTAGGTGCACAGAACACAAGCCAGAGGGAAGGAGGAAGAGAAGAACTTGCCTGTGATTTCAGTAATGAAATCTCGGCGTCGTCTCTAAGTTTTCGGCAACTGCTAACTTCCTTCAAGCCTCCTATGGGTTTGACTTAATCCACCATAACCCTCCCTTGATCCTCTCTATTCTTCTCCTCGGTAACTCTTATGATTTCCTCTGTTCTCTCAACTCTCTCTTTGTTCTGTTTTGTTTCCACCGTACCGTGAATAAGGTTCTCCCAACCCTCAGTAAAAACTCATACACGTATATATATATGCACTTAGAAAACCCTAATTAAACTAGAGCTAAGACAAAAACCCTAATCAAACTAGAGTCAGCCGATAAAATCCTAATCATATACATATATAACAGATACCTATATGACGTCCCAATAAAACCCTAATCTTAAATAAAGAAATGAAAACAAATAATTAAATTAAAATAGTAAATCAAAGAATTAAAACTACATCACTTAAATCAACTTACCAAATAAACCAATTTAATTAAATCAAATAACTAATTAAATTACACAATTAAATCAAATAATGAAAGAAAACAATTAAACACCCAAGCAACTAGTCACATAAAAATGAAATAAAAATAATTAAATTCCAATTTTATCCTTTTAAAAACTAGGGGTATTACAGACCAGTTCGTGGTGGTTTTCGTGGATGACATTCTTGTGTATTGACAGACTCGGGAAGAGCACGAGATCCATTTGAGTACTGTTCTACAGATTTTACGGGAACACCGGTTGTATGCCAAATATGAGAAATGTGAGTTTTGGCTACAAAAGGTGAAGTTTTTGGGACATGTTGTTTCGGAAGGAGGAGTGTCAATTGATCCATCAAAGATTGAAGCTATTTTGAATTGGGAAGAACCCAAGAATGTGTTTAAAATCCAGAGTTTCCTTGGTTTAGCGGGCTATTATCGGAGATTCGTGAAAGATTTCTCTCGTTTGGCAGCTTCTATGACCCAATTGACCCGAAAAGGAATCAAGTTTGTGTAGAATGAAGCCTGTGAGTCATCTTTTCAGGAATTGAAGACAAGGTTGACTACAGCTCCAGTGTTGGTGATACCTGAGCGTGGCTTGGGTTATGTGATCTATTGTGATGCTTCGCGTGATGGGTTGGGATGTGTATTGATGCAGGATGGTAGAGTAGTGGCTTATGGGTCTTGACAGTTAAAGACTCATGAGTACAACTACCCTATTCATGATCTGGAGCTAGCGGCAGTCGTGTTTGCACTGAAGTGTTAGAGACACTATTTGTATGGTGAAATGTTTGAAGTGTTTTCAGACCACAAGAGCCTCAAGTACCTTTTCTCCCAAAAGGACTTGAACAACAGACAGAGAAGATTAGTTGAATTTTTGGAAGATTACAATTTTGATTTGCAGTATCATCCAGGCAGGGCAAATGTGGTAGCAGATGTTTGAGCCGGAAATCTCGTGGAACTTTAGCCGGATTAGCTATTCGGAAATGGAAGATGCTTAATGATCTGGCGGAGATGGGATTGTATTGTGTTAACGACGATGGTTGCGGTGAATCGGCATTCTTGTTTAGTCTTGTGGCTCAGCCTACTCTTGTTGTGCGAGTGATTGAGTCACAGAGACATGACTTGGATTTAGATGCCGTTTACACTTTAATCTCCAGTGGTGAGATGGTGAAAGATTGGACCTTGCATGCAGACGGGGGTCTACGATTCAATGGTTTGTTTGCGGTTCCCACAATTTGTCGTAAGGACGTCTTACGGGAGTTTCACATTTTCCGTTTTGCAGTTCATCCAGGTGGTACTAAGATGTATTACAATTTAAAGCGTCAATATTGGCAGAACGGTATGAAGAAGGATGTTACACAGTTTGTGGCTAAATGCCTTACCTGTCAACAGGTGAAGGCTGAGCATCAGAAACCGGCTGGGTTGTTGCAACCATTGCCTGTAACACAATGGAAGTGGGAACATATCGCTATGGATTTTGTGACAAGTCTTCCAAGGTCACGAAGAGGCAACGAGGCCGTATGGGTTATCTTCCAGGCCTTGTAGGTCTCCAGTTTGTTGGACTAAGGTGGGCGAAACAGCCGCCTTAGGACCCGACATTGTACTCGAGACTACCGAGAAGATTAAATTGATCAGACA